ATAATAGTTTTAATTATGGCGTTTTTGGTATGAATATTCACTTTTGAAATTACATAAAATTTGTTTGAAATTGGTATAGATTTTTGTTTGAACATTCATTTTTTTGTATGTTTCTGGTTAAAAAATTACATAAAATTTATTTGAATTTGGTATATTGGTTATACCATGTTGGTACGATTTTAGAATTATATTTGAATAAATTTTGTATATTGTTTGTCTAATAAATGACAATTAATAGTTAAAAATGGTATTATTTTGGTATTATAGTGTCATGATTCTGCTGTGAAAAAATGACGACTTATGTCATGAAATAGGTATAATTTTGGCATGAAATAGGTATGAAAAATGTGCATAATAATTATATGAAATTTGTATACTGATTTCAGATTTTTTTGTTGTGTATAATAATTTGAATTATGGCGTTTTTAAAAAAAATGTATAATGCTATATTTTGGTATGAACATTGAATTTGTTCATTATTTGTCTGACGCTTTTTTTTTTGGTATATTTTTGTTTAAAAAAATAAATAAGTTTTTCTTTGGAATTTGTATACTTATACTACCAAGCATGTATGACAATCGATAATGTTTTGGTACGATTTTTGGTTTGATTGAATTATTTTTTTTGGTCATTATATTGTAATGAATTTTGAGAATAATAATGTAATGAATTTGGTATATTGTTTATTAAAGAAATGACAATTAATATTTCTAAGTTGGAATTATTTTGGTATTCTAGTGGCATGATCATGGTATGAATTATTGATAACTTTTGGCATGAAATAGGTAAGAAATGTGTGAATAAGAATTGTATGAAATTTGTATACCGATATAACATATCTGTTTTTACTTTTGTATTCTGTAATAACATATGAAATTGTTTTAAAATAACATAAGTATTTTTACTTTTCTATGAATTTTGTAAGCATAAAAATGGTATGAAATTTGTATATTGATATAGCATATGTATAAAAGTTATTTGTACTTTTGTATGATAGAATTTTGACACAATAATTTATGGTGAAACAGAAAAATATGCAATTCAAAAAATGTCAGAGCAGAAATTATTGTTGCCTGGTTCAAAAAGAATTGTAGGGAGACCCAAGTTGTAAATGGTTTGCTGATGTGAAATTCAAGAGGTCTAAGATTACGTGCAGTACATGTCGTCGGGAGGAGCACAATAGGAAGACATGTTCAAATTACCTTTCTGAAAAAAAGACATAATTTATTTTTATTTTTATTTAGTTATTTTATTGTGGCAAACTCATGTTTGATTTATTTTGTCTTTTAAGTTAATGAATTATAATTTCAGAATATTTATTATGTGTGCTAGTTAATCATTTGTGTATACAGTGTTTTTTAAATGTATACTAAAAAAATAAGTAATGTTGGTATGCGATTGATATTGACTAGAAAAATTAAGTCAAATCTTAGTATGAAATTGGTATACATTTGGTATCCAACTGACGTCCCAGTGATAAAAATTGAAAAAAAAAACATAGTAATTGAGATTTCAACTGAAATAGCCAACGTAAAACTAGTTAATATTGTATCCAATTTGTATAAATTTAGTATTGAATTGATATCCCATTGGAAAATTGAAAAATCAAGTTGTGGTTGAGATTTCAATCAAATTAGACAACCTAAACAAGTTAATATTGTATTCAATTGGTATCCAATAGATATCCCACTTCAAAATGAAAAAAACAAAATGTAACTGATATTTCAACCAAATTAGACAATCTAAAACAAGTTAATGTTTTATCCAATTTATATACACTTGGTATCCAACTTGAAATTTTAGAAACAAAGAACAAAAAATAAAAATGTATAAAATTAGTATCCAACGGGTATAAATCCGGGAAGAATGAATTTTGAGAATAATAATGTAATGAATTCTTAATTCTAAAAAAATCAAATTAAAAAAAAACAATATCAAAATTTAAAATAAAAAAACATAAAGAAAAGCAAAAAAAATAGATTTAAAGAGTAGAGAAAACTACATGTTAAAATATACGGTGATAAATTTATTTATTTTTAAAAATTAAAGTCCCCAATAGTCATTAATAAATAAAAGTTATTTGAATAAATTAAAAATCTCTTAAAAGGTGTAATAGATAATTACAAATTGATTCTCTCTCATTAATATTATTTCTCTCACCTATTAATTATATAAAAGGAACTGCAATCAATATAATTAAATAATTAATAATATAAAAATATTAAAAGATGAATCATTTAATAAAGTAAATTTTAATTGATTTTTAAATAAAGTTAAATTTAATTGATATGTTATAACCCGTAATTAAACTGTTATAAGTAAGAATTTTTTAAGAGTAGATTTAAACCTCGTAATATTGTCTCTTAAATGTGTATATGGTGTGATTTTTCCTAATTTAATTACTTCCTCCTTTTTATTTTACTTGATCATAGCATATTGTTATGACATTTTATTTTTAGAAAATAAAAATATGTTTTACTAAATTAATCTTCTTTGAATTCTAAAAATTTGCCTACTATTACTATTTTATATACTCCACTTATTCATCTTTAATGTCCACTATATTATTTTGAAATGTCCAACAATATTTATCAAGTTTATAAAATCAATAAACATTTACCATTTTATGCCTATTTTACCCTTGCTATTACATACGGTTCATTTTTCAATATTTAGATGACAAGGGTGATTTGGTAAAAATTTACAACTTCTTAATAGGGATGTGCAAAAACCGAACCGAAAAAATGTTATTGGGTTATTGTTATTGGGATTTTAGGTTATTGGGTTTTTAATGGGTTTATAAAAAAGGTTATTGGGTTATTGGGTAAATCGATAACCCAATAAGATGGCAATAATTTACTACTTTACCCTTCCTAAATATTTAATATTAATAATTTAATATATAACTAGACACTATAACTATGTCAAATTATTAGTAATCTATCCACTTCACACTAGGCCGTTTTACTCGTCTTTACTGTTTATTCAAAACCTAAAGACTAAAGTAAGGGTTCGCTATTGTAGCTATTTGATTTTAGTTTTTTTTTAGTCTTATTGGACTATTTGATTTTAGTTTTAGTTTGTAATTGTAGGTTGTAGCTTTTGCAAGTTTGTAAAGGTCTGTAATTTGATTAACATAAGAAATTTCATACTATATTTTGGCGGTGACGTGTAAATTGTAATTATAGCCTTCATGCTATATTTTCTCTTACTGATGCAATTTCTCATTATCTTTCTTGTTTCACTATATCAAAGCATTTATAGAAGTGAGAAGTCATATAATATTTTATGGACATTTTCTTATTGGGTAAATCAAAAATCAAACCGATAACGACCTAAAACCGATAAACCGAAAACCGATAAATCAAAAATCGGTAAAAAAATATCTTATTGATTTGTTATTGGATTAGCATATTTAAAAACCGAACCGAATCGATAATACACAAAATTGAACTGAACCGATCGATACACACCCCTACTTCTTAATTCATATGTCAAGTCAATAGTGGATAACTATTGTTGGCCAAAGAGAGTACTAATAATTTAATACTAAGGATAGTATGAGAAAAAGTAATACTCCCTCTGTCCTATTTTATGTGGCACTTTTTGAATTTCGAGATTCAAACAAATATATCTTTGACATTAAGTTTTTTATAGATCTTTTAAACATTTTGAATTATCAATTATTATGACTTAGAGTACTTTTTACATAGGTTACAAATATATAAATATGAGGATCACTAGATGTATGACATATATAAATATAAACTTGTTTCACTTAAGCATATGATTAATTAGCATATATTTTTGCTTTATTAAATCGGAGAAGGGTCTAAAATGCTCCTCAAGTATTTGAATTAGTACAAAATTACCCTTCATCCACCTATCAGCCCTAAAATACCCCTGACGTCCACCTTTCGGTTCAAAAATACCCTCGATGTTAATCCTTTCACTCATATTTGCCCTTATTTTTAATAGCTCCCTTAAAGTAAAATTATTAAATATTTATTTATTATATTGCTTAATGTGATTGGTCCAAAATTTTAAACCCTTCTCAAAATAAATAATAAAAATGATATTTTTAAAAATTCTATTTTTCTATAAAACCACTTATGAATTA